ATTGCGTCCCGTCGGCAGTCCGATCTCAGCAGTTCTTCTCATCCCACTCGAATGTTCGCACGGTGCGGCCCGCTGCTGCATCACACCGGGGCGGAAATGGAAAGCGTGTCTGTCGGCCATTCAAACTCCAGTATTAATGTTTTCACTGATCCCGGTCCTGGTGCGCACTTTTTTTATCACCTCTAATATCCCACTTAATGGCTACAATCAATTCCAAACTGTTGGTAATATCACTATAAACTTGCTTGAGGCAGCACAGCCCGTCCGTGTTGCGCTCGCGGCCTCTCTGCCTATACTGCCCAACCGTCACTCGCCTCGCCCGTTTACCCCCGATTTGACCGTTGTGCAGCGGTGGCGGCGGCGCGTTACTACGCTGATCGATTTAGTGCTTCTTTTAATTAGAATTAGTAATCAATTTTGATTGTTACTATGCAGAAACGTTCTTCGTTTTCAATATATATATATATATATATATATATATATATATATATATATATATATAGTGCAATTGTAATCATTATTCTTGTCTTCTGAGAAACCATTGTATTAAAGATAATCATAATTAAATATACAATCGATCACGTGTTACCTCGAAACATTTGTTATGATTTTATCAGATGTCTACTGTGCCAATTAATTTTTAGAGGAACATATAAGAAAAGACACCAGCTACATTTCAATAGAACGTCATTTTCTTTTGCGTAAATAATGCAATTTGACGAAAAGAGGGTTGCATTCGATATTTGTGAGTTTATGAACATCATTTTAATTGTATGGGTTTCTTGAGCTCCTTCGATTGCATTGAAACGGAATGGATCACTCTATCATTTAAACATGTTATAGCAGAAGAGGCAAATTTAAGCGTAAGCTCAGATTGATTCACACGGGCACGTCAAGAGTTATGTTCATTAATATGGTTAATGTAGTGAATGTTTTCCTGGAGGTGGGGGTGTTCATCCCCACTGGATGGTGAGGTTCGGCGCAGACCTACACGACGGATTGCGGGAGTTTCCTTCTCCAGGTATCTCCCCAGCGGGGCACTGCCGATAACTTTGTAGTAATGTAGCGCATGTATGTATAAATGTATATTTGTGTGCAAGAGGAGAGGAGAGGGCAACAAAGAAGAAGGAAAGAGTGGTCCAAGCCTGCTTGTTGCGGTACTGCTCCAGCTTACGCCTGGTATTCCTCGAAAAAACAACATAACTACCTATCAGAGCAGCCAGCCACTATACATCTCCCCCAGAAGTACTATTAATAGATGTTGCAAACTTTTAGAGCATGAAGGGGGGTCAATGAAAAACACGTATTGCTAATGAACATACAAAGAGAAATTTATATAATTCGTTATTCGTTAATTTAAGGTTCGCTCTCGTAGAAACAACTAGAAGTACTATTAATAGTTGCTTAATTCCGATGAAGATTGTTCGACAAAGCTCTATAGCTAAGTAGAATTCAGGCGCTGAATCCGTCGAAAATCCGTCGCCATCGGGACCCAAACTCTAGGACCTCCCGGTCAGAGATGCTGACAAGGTGCAACCGGTGCAACTCTGAGCTAAATCCAGCCGATGCCGGTTCTGAGTTTACGAACAGAATTCTATTTATGGAAATGAAATATTACTTAACCAGTCACAAAAAAATCACGTTTTATTATTTCTCAATCAACCTCTACAATAAAATAATTGAAAAAAGAAACAAAAAAGTAACTTTTTAATATTCATATTTACATTGAAAAATATCAATTACCTTTCCTTTATATTCTTTTTTATACCGACACTTCTAAATTTTCATTGGACAATGACGTTACAGAAGCTCATTTTTCACACCTAACTACGCTAACTTAGGAGTTTTCGAGTTCTCTTCCACGAACGTCGGATGGCGTGAATACCTATTCTCTGTGAAACATATTTCCTTTTCTCTATCCTATATAATCCCATTTCTCAGTGCGGATTTTGTGCAACAGATGTAAACATATAATTCTAAAATTGTAGAATAACACATAATATTGACATTAAATATATTTCATAGATTTCGCATTGACAAAGTGTCATCTACATGTGTCATAGAATAGATGTTGCAAACTTCTAGAGCATGTAGGGTGGTCAATGAGGAACACGTATTGCTAATGAACATTCAAAGAGAAATTTATATAATTCGTTATTCATTTATAACGAAGTTACACTCGACACATTTATCCCTGATTGCTAGGAATCACATTTATGGGTTGGTGTTTGGCAGGTAAACGAAATGTCTTTGCGTCGGCACGTGACCTGGATCATTTACAAATAATTTAGCCAACTGTTACATTTGTTTAACAAACGTTAAAGGATCACAAAAACAAAACTTTCTACAATTTTAATATTCTGAATGACGATATTTGTTGAATCAAAAAATTATGTTCCAGACGCAAAACATGGATGAAAATTACTATTTGAGTCATTCTAAATAAGTCAGAAGGGGAATACATCATACTGAATAATCTACTTACTAATTTCGCAGTTCA